AGGAGCTCAGATTGGGACAGGTGGAGTTTGAGGTGCCTCTTCGCCCTCCCCCCATCCCAGAGTGGCCTAGCAGCAGGATGTAGCAGCCTGGAGGTCAGGGGCTGGAGATGGAGATTTGGGAATGGTCAGGAGACAGCTGGGGTTTAAAGCCATAAAAGTGATGAGAAAACTAAGAGAGAGAAAATGAAGAGAAGGGGGTAAGTTGAGCTTAGGATATGTGAGGTTTGAGGTACTTGTTGACATTCAAGTGGTGACATGGAGAGACAGCTGGATACGGAGACACACAAACCCTGCTTGTGGTGGGGGTCACAAAGAGGCATGTGGACAGCATTGGGTGGGGCTGGGAGGTGGCAGGAGGAGACCGACCCTGAGCTCCTGCCACCCCCAGGTGGATGGCCAGGTGGTGAGCTCCCTGGTGCAGCTGGGCCCTGAGGCCCGCGTGTGGCAGGAGCAGGATCAGGTGCACTTCAACAGCCGCAACACGCTGGTCATGCAGGTAGGGCCCGAGTACCGGGGCCACCTCTGCGCCTCTTTGGCAACTTCAGTGGTGACCTCAGCAACGACAAGGTACTCCCCAGCGGGGCGCCTGCCCCCAGTGATGCTGTCTTTGGCAATGCCTGGCAGACCTGGGACAGCCAGCCAGGGTTGGCCTGGGCTGCGGGCAAACAGTGGACACATAAGGAGTGCTTCAAGAAGGACAGACAGGCTGAAGCAGGGGCCACTAACAGCAGACATGTGGGTCTCCCTAGAACCAGGAACAACTATTACACTCACTTACAGATGGGGAAAACTGAGGCACAGAAAGGAGAAGTATTTGCCCAAGTTCCCACAATAGGAAATGGTGGAATGAGGATTTGAGCCCAGGCAGCCTGGCTGCAGAGCCCTTGATCCTAAATACTCCACTCTACCACTTCTCGAAAAGGAGGCAGGAAACATTCCCCTCGCCGAGACTTAGTCCTGCAATGTCCAAGTCTGCGGCCACTGGCCACATGTGCTGTTTACATTTTAATGTAGATTAATTTAAACTAAATTAAACATGTGGCTCCTCACACTAGCCACATTTCAAGTGCTCACTAGCCACTGGTGACTAGTGGCTATGGTATTGGATGACACAGATTTGGAGACTTGTCCAAGCAACAAAGCTGGGATTTGAAACCAACAAGGCTGATTCCAGACTCCACAATCTGACTAATGACTACCCTGTGCTGAGTGACAGGACGACAATCATTTGATACCACGGGTTGGGGTTTTTTAATGTTTCCAGGCTGAGCCAGAGCTGTCAGAATCTGGAAGGGAGAGACTAGCAGGGCTGGAGGAGGAGGGCAGGTAGGGGCTGGCCAGGCCGGGAGGCAGGAGATTAGGCTTGGAGGTGGCTGTGCTGAGTCCCTGTGGTCCTCCAGCTGCCAGCAGGACACTAGGGCCACCAAGACCTGCCAGGACAGGCCCTGGGTGGAGCAGCTCTGCAGAGTTCTGACGAATCGCACAGGGCCCTTCGCCAAGTGCCACTGGCACGAGGACCCCACGTCCTATACACAAGCTTGCGTCTTTGACCTCTGCCAGTATGGCATGGGGAACCGCATGCTGGGTGCCACCCTGAGGCCTACGCTCAGCCCTGCACCCTGCACAGCGTTCACTTGCCCGAGTGGCAAGCTGGCCTGGGATGCAGTAGGTGCCCCTTCACCTTCTCCAGCCCCAGCTCTGACAAGGCCCTTGGCCCTTGGCCAGCTACATGCCACCTTTCCCTGCTGATTGGAGCCCCTCATTCCCAGGGATCCCTGAGCCCTGCTTGGGATGGTGACCCAAGACTCAAATCAGAACCAGGACTTCCCTCGGCCCCTTTCTAATCCCACCTCCCTCTTCCCTGCACCTGATCCTCAATTGTCTGAATTGTTTATCCTGTGCCATGATTTTTAAGTGACCTGTGGACACTATATAAATAACAAACTACATGGTGGGAAAGCATTAGTTAGGAACAATAGCGGTTCGGGAATTGTCCTGTGGTCTATTCCTGCCCCCTTTCTGCCCACCACCCATCCTGGTTTTTGCTTCCTCAGTCAGAGTTTCAGGATAGTGGCCCCTGGGCCATCTTTCCCCTTCTCCAGGTGTGACATGTCAAGTCAACAGCTACTACAACTTCTGTGGGCCACCCTGCCCAGCCACCTGTGCCAGCCTCAACTTCTCCATGCCCTGAACCCGCCAGTGCACAGCGGGCTGCTTCTGCCATGAGGGCTTTGCCCTGGAAGTGGGCACTTGTGTGCCCCACTCTCACTGCAGCTGCCACCTGCAGGACCACTACATCCCTCTGGGTGCTGAGATGCTGCTCATAGCCACCTGTGACCAGAAGTGTGTGTGCCATGGACCTCGACATCCACCCGAGTGCCACACTCATGCTTGCGGGCCCCAAGAGCTCTGCTGCCAGTGCGGTGGTGTTTGGGGCTGCCACCCCACATGCTACAGGACACTGTGGCTCTGCAGAGACCCCCACTTGCACACCTTCAATGGGACCCCACACCCAGTTTCAAAGGCCTGCCTGGGATGCATTGGCCAGAACATGCTGGCTCCATCACACCCCATTTGCCATCTGGGTGGGGGTTAGGCACCAAGAGCCCAGGGGTGTCACATGGGCCCAGCAAGTGGATGTGGACATGGCAGGATGTCGACTGTCTCTACTGGCAAGACAGTTTGGAGTGGTCCAGGTAAACATCACCCAGCTCTAGTCCTGAGTCTAGGAACTCTGATGACTAATGACCATAAAGAACAGCAGGCAAAGAAATGGCAGCCCAAGAGCATTCCCTTTGGAGAGAGAGATACTGGGGTTTTGTCACCCTTAGAACTGGGCAGAGTGCCCCTGCCCCGGGCCTGCACTTCAGAGGGTTCACTCTGGCCCCTGACTGCACCCCTCCCCACAGCTTCAGAGTCCGAGGACCTCAGGAAACCCCCCGGAGCCTGTGCTCCCTCCCCCACCCTCTTCTAGACCACACTTCAGGAACAGGAATTCCCTATCTACAAAGCTCTGAGCCACTTCCAGGGCCCACCCTGGCCATGTCCCCAGATCCATCCTCACAAAAGTGGACCATGAGGCTGATGTGACACGTCTAGGCCCCATTGCAGGAAGTGGGTGGGAACCAGGCTGGACTGAGCAAGCACAGGGCTGGCAAGAGAAGAGGTGTGCCGGGGTCAGCCTCTGCTCGGGTGCCACATCCTGTCCGGGGACTCTGAAGAGTCAGAACATCTGAATTCGCCCCTGGTCTCCAGGATATCAGGAAGGTCTATGTATCAAGGCAGGAGGACAGAACATATGTCATTTAACAATTTGGCAACTCTATTTGCAACTCGTAAACATGAAGACAGTGAGATGTGGGCCTCCATTTCCCCTCTTGTTTTGGGCCCCCCAAGGTGGGGGGCAAATGGGTATTTGGCCCACCTGGGTGCTTAGTTGGTGCTCTAGCAGGCAACGTGGTGAACTGGTGATGCATGTGGTGCTGGGCCCAGGGGGCCTGGATTCGAATCCCACTGTGCTATTTGCTAGCCGTTGACCTTGACCTAGTGGCTTTACATCTCTGTGCCTTGGTTTCCCATCTGTAAAATGAGAGATAACAGTACCTACCTTGTATGTGAGGATTAAGACGTGTAAATTGCCTGGGACAAAGCTTTTTGTAACGGCATTAAAGTGTTTGATCAATAAATGAAACATGTAACTGCAAAGTCAAGCCAGCTTTCTACTGGTGATCCCAGCAGGCAGAGTAAAGATACAGTCTTTTAAAATCTTGAATCAGGGGCCAGCCCGGTGGCGCACTGGAGAGTGCGCCGCTTGGGAGTGCGGCGGCGCTCCTGCCGAGGGTTCGGATCCCATGTGGTGACAGGTTCCCGCTCACTGGCTGAGCGCGGCGCGGGCGCGACACCAAGGGTTGCGATCCCGTACCGGTCAGTAAAAAAGACAAAAAGGAAAAAAAAATATATTGAATCAGGTCTCATCTCTCCTATCTCAAAGCCCTCCTGTGGCTCCATCTCATTCAGAGTGAAACCGTGGCCTTTGTGACCCTGCAGAGCTGGTCCCTGTCACCTCTCTGCCCCCATCTCCTCCACTTGCTCCCTCAATCTGCTCCAGCTGCACTGACCTCCTGCTGTTCCTCCAACACCCCAGGCAGGCTCCCACCTCAGGGCCTTTGCACTGGCTGTTTCCTCTGCCTGAAACACTCTTCCGTGATGTCCTCACATAACTGATGCATTCTCATCTGTCAAGTCTCAGCTCAAATGCCACCTCCTCCGAGAAGCCCTCCCTGACCACTCCTGTGAAAAGAGCCACCCCTTCCAGTCTTCCTCTCTTATAATCACTCATTTATTTTCTTCAAAGCATTTGTCGGGCCGGCCCGGTGGCACACTGCTACAGTGTGCCGCTTGGGAGCGCGGCGGCGCTCCCGCCAAGGGTTCGGATCCCACATACAGACCGGTTCCTGCTCACTGGCTGAGCGAGGTGCGGGCGCAGCACCAAGGGTTGCGATCCCGTTGCCGGTCCCGGTCCGGTACGGGCGCGACACTGAGGGTTGCGATCCGTTGCCGGTCACGAAAAAAAAAAAAAAAGACAAAGCATTCGTCCATTTCATAAGTCATCTTTTCCGTTTATCACTTCTTTGTTTATTGTCATTCTTCCTCTCTATAGAATAGTTCTCTAAGGGCAGGGACTTTGCTGACAAAAATCCCTGGGAGAAAGACAATAAGCCAATACATAAGTAAACTTCTGGTATGTCAGAAAGTGATAGTTTGTTCTGGAGAAAAACAAAGCAGGGGAGGGGGCAGGAGGGGGCCGTGAGGGTGTTGCCCTTTAAGGCGGGGAGAGCAGGGAGGCACTGGAGCAGAGGCTGAAGGAGGTGAGCGGAGGAAACCGCCAGTGCAAAGGTGCAGAGGCTGGAAAGGTACCTGGTGTGGAGGAGGAACCACAGGGAGGCCCAGGTGGATGGCGCAGCGTGAGCGAGAGCGCGAGGGGTGAGTGAGACAAGATGAGGACAGACAGGTGGCAGGGGCTAGTTTCACGGGGCTACACAGGCCACGGTGAGGAGTTTGGATTTTATCCAAGTGTACTAGAGAGTCAGGGGTTTTGAACAAGGGAGAAACCGGATCTGATTTATGATTTTAAAGGACTCATTGGGTGCTATGTGAAGAGCGCATGGCAGGGGCAGAAGCGGGGACCTGGGAGAGGCTGGTGTCTGGGCAGGGCTGCCTGATAGCCTGGGTGTCTGTGTTCCAGTGAATGGGTCCCAGGCTGGCCTGCCCCTGATCCTGGCTGGGGGCATACTCTGGGCCTTCTCCACGTCCTCACCTGTCACCATTCAGGCAGCCACCGGCCTCTCTGTAGCCTTTCACGAATCCTGTGCCCTCTGGGTAACAGTGCCTGAGACCTACACTAACACTCTCTGTGGCCTGGGTGGGGACTTTAGCATGGATATTCAGGATGACTTCAGTGGCTCCGAGAGCATGTGGCTCTCTGATGCCCACAACTTAACTGTAGGCCTCACCCTTTTGTGCCCACCAGACAAGGCAGCTCTATATACATCCTTCTGTGAATTGCTGGGTGCCCATGATGGTCCCTGCAGGGCCTGCAGTAAGGACATGGAATCTCAAATCCACGTGGAGAACTGCATCCATGACCTCTGTGTCATAGGGGACTCACAGGAGACTCTGTGTGCTGTGCTGGGGAGCTACGCCCAGGAATGCCAGCGATGTGGCCTCACCACGTAGCCCTGGAGACACCTTGTGGTCTGTGGTGAGCAGGTGTTCCCAGGGGAGGGTCTTTCTCAGCCTGATCTCACCAGCTGATCCAATACCACCTCCAGATGTCCTCCTAGGTCAGTGCCACCTGAGTTAGCTACTGCCTGTTGGCTGTCCTCCTGAAGACCCTACCTTCTTAGAACTCTTCAGTAATAATGACAGATGACACTGAATGCTACCAAATCAGTCAGGATAGTCTGGGTTATGCTGCAGTAACTAACTTGAACATGACCCAACATGACCAGGGGTTGTTGTTTCTCTCTCCTAAAAATTCCACAGTCTTCTTCAGGGCACCATTGGAGTTCACTTCCATCCTGTGATGCCACCCTAGCAACATGTGCACCCCCGCTCTTCAACCTTCATCTTGGAAGTCACCCACGTCATTTCTGCTCATGTTCTTTGGCTGGAAGATAGGTCCTGCCTATCTTCAAGGGCAGGGTGGAGGCTGGGAAAGGAAGTACATGGGCATTGAATGGGCTGTAAGTGACTGTGTCTTGTGTGTTTTCTCATTCAGTCCTCATAACAACATGCTGAAGGAAGTGTGGTTACTATTTCTGTTTTACAGATGAGGAAACTGAGGCACAGGGAGATCAGAGAGTCAGCAGGAAACACAATGCTTTGACTCCCTGCTGCCTTTGGGCTAAAGTGCAGGCCCTTTAGCTGAGCACTTGGGCCCTCTTGTGGACTGACTTGCCCCTGTCTGCTGCCCTTCACTTTTTTACCCTTGGGGATCCTGAAGTATGTATAATTCCCACACCCAGTTTCTTGCTGCTCTTTAAGGGTTCAGAAGCCCAGTGCCAGTGGGGCCAGGCAGGCTAATGGGTGAAGTGGGCTGGGGAGGGCAGGTGGATGTGGGAGTGTGTCCTGCCTATGAGAGCTTGCATTTTTTGCCAAGTGGGAGTATGGACTCAGTGGAGCCCAGTGGCCTTGTTTTGAATCCCAGCTCCATCACTCTGTAGCTATGTGACCTTGGGAAAGTCACTTATCTTCTCTGGGCCTCGGTTTCTTCATTTGTGAAAGAAAAAGGGTAATGAAAGTCCATATCTAATGGAGTTATTGTGAGGTATAAACAAGAAAGCGTGTGAAAGACAGGCTCCTGGTAACTGTTCAATTAAAGGTCATTCTTTTAATTGGCAAAATGGCAATGATCTTTCATAGTTTCCAGCTAATTCAGATTTCTTCAGTGAATTTAGGAAGAAAATATTAAGAATTATGAGAGATAACATCTAGGAGAAGCATAGAGGAGAGCTGGGCATATAGTCAGTGCTTAGGAAGTGTTATCTCAGACCCATCATCACCACCATCACCACCATCACATCACCATCAGCATCGCCACCAACACCATTATCAACACCATCAGCACCAGAACCATTATCACCACCATCACCAGCACCATCACCACCATCATCACCACCATCACCATCA